ATGCTAAATAGAAACTATGCTAAATAGAAACTATGCTAGTTGGCTTTTGCCATTGCCAGTTTGTTCTGAAAATAGATGTGAGGGCGAGGGGTCATGTGACTGTTAAACTTCATGCTCACTAACCAGTGACTTGACAAACATAAGTCATTAGCCAGTGGTCAAAGAGAAAATCCTTTCTGACACCATAAATGAACAAAATTTATAAAAAGAACTTCCTTTGTTTGATGAAATCAGTAATGATCTGATGTGTAACCAGGTGTGGGCAATTCATTTTCCCACATATGACAAACTGAGTCTGCTGTGAAGGCCTTATGAAGTTTCTTGTTGACCTGATTTCAGGCCCATTGGAAAACTCAATTGCCCGCCTCTGCCATAAACTAATCAGAAATGTTTTTTCCAAAATAAACTATTGGTATCACCCTGTGGTGCTCATTAAAGCCAATGCAGATTTTGTTAAGGTACTTCTGTACTTATTCATATTCAATAAGCCTGTGCATGTTGTGTTGATAAAACGTGATTGAAACATGTTTAAATGAAGTAAGTTGAGCTCTTGAAATATTTGAATCCTTCACAATTTTGTCATTTTACTAAACACTATTCAATAACTACCCCTAGTACTACTTGGTCACTTAAATAATTACATTTGTCTTCATACATAATGTTCAACAAAGTCTAGAGTCTGGTTAACATAAAAGCTGAATGGATTTACAGCCACTACCATCCTCCTAGCTTTATCCGGGTTGCATGGGTATAACCCAGAAGTGACAGGTTAAGAGGCAGGGTGCGACCTGGATAGCTCCCCAGTCTATCACATAGAGACAAACAACCACTTACATTCACACTTTAGGGTAATTTGGAATCACCAATTAACCTAGCTCTAATAAAAGCATGACTTTTCACTGTGGGAGGAACCCAGAGTCCTCAGACAGAACCCACTGCAAACTAGCCAGATTGTGGATTTGAACCCATGTTCTTGCTATGAGGCAACAGCGCTAACCACCACGCCACCAAGCTGTCAATTGAGGCTCAACAAAAGTAGGAAAGCTATGATTTCAAGGCTTGATGCAGAATTTTTCCGTACGTTTTTGTCCTTGACAGGTTAAACCACAATAAATAGTGTATAGCATACACGGTGTGTGTGTAGTTGCCTTTTAAAACTCCAGGGATTTTCCTGCAGTTTGAAATCTCGTGCGATCTTGTGAATTTCTTGAGTCCAGCAACCACTCTCACTAGATTGTATCAGGTCATCTCAACAGGAACAAATTAAGTTGTTGAATTTCATAAAGATCCTACATGATTTAATTACGTTCACCATAGAAACATGAAATTATTTTCACATTACAAGTTAGACTTTTGATGCATCTCAATCATCCAGGAAAGCAAATCTCCAAAAGTTGATTCTGTTCATCTGGACGTAGCATTTTGTGGGAGAAACGTTTCATCATCATCAGGTGACGTCTTCAGTCTCAGCTGCAGGTTTCAACCTTATAAACAGCACATTTGCACAATGACTGAAACCAGCCCACTGAAGGAACAATGGGCTGTGAGGTCAGTTCCTTAATCTTAATTATGCAAATTCTCATGACCACTGATCAAAACCCACTGATCAATAACCATGAGTCCCATTCACAGAGAGTTGGGGAATGGCTGCAATCACAGCATGTAAGATGGTGACAGATGTACCCTTAGGCCCCCTCAACGATTCAGAGATGGTCTTTCCCTTTTCATATAAATGGCTGCATTCAAACCAGCGTTCCTCCCTGTCCAGGATGTTACATCCTCATCATTGAAAGAGTGTCCACTGGTCTGTAGGTGTGAATAGACTGCAGAGTCCTGGCCTGACGAGGTCGCTCTTCTGTGTTGTGCCATCCTCTTAGCCAGAGGTTGTTTGGTTTCCCCGATGCATAAATCCTTCCAATCCTCCTGCACTTAACAGCGTACACTATGTTACTCTGTTTGTGTCGGGGACCCGATCCTTGGGGTGGACCAGTTTTTGGCGCAGCGTGTTTTGGGGTTTAAAAGCCACAGAGACCCGGTGTTTAGAAAAAATGTGTCTCAGCTGCTCCGATACTCCTGACACGTACGGATCACTGCAGGTTTTCGCTTAGGCAGCGGTTGTCCTTCAATTCAATTGAATTTTATTTATATAGCACCAAATCACAACAAAAGTCGCCTCAAGGCGCTTCATCCTTCATCCAGCTTCGTCCTTCTCTCCTGGATCAGATGGAGCTTTCTTTAGGAGCCTTTCCCGCTTTGACAAACATCCAGCTGGGATAACCACATTTACTCAGGGCCTTCTTGATGTTCTTCTGCCTCCCTGGCTGCTGTGTCAGTGGGGATGGTGTTCGCTCGTTGTTGTAGCGTCCTGATGACGCCCAGTTTGTGCTCCAGTGGATGATGAGAGTCAAACCTTAAATACTGATCCGTATGTGTAGGTTTACACGTCAGCTTTAGATGTCCCCCATTACTGATGGAGATCTCACAGTCTAAGAAGGCTAACCTGCCACTTTTCATATCCTCCCTGGTGAATTTGATGAGTTAATGTGATCCATGAAATGTGGAACTTCCTGAGATTTGATTTTCACCCAGGTGTCATCCACATGCCTGAACCAATGACTTGGTGGTGTTCCAGGGTAGGATAGCAAAGCCACTTCCTCCATGTACAAATTGGCCACGATGGGTGAAACTGGGGAGCCCATGGCACACCCATGTTTCTGCCTGTAGAACTGACCCTTGTATGTGAAACAGGTGGAATGAAGACACAGTTCAAACACACTTGGTTGATGCTGAGAGTGGTCCTGCTGCTGAGGTTGGGGTCATCCTGTAATCTCTTACGGACCGCCTCCAACGCTTCCGTGACTGGGATGCAAGTGGTCATGAGAATTTGCATAATTAAGACTGAGCTCCCAGCCCATTGTTCCTTCAGTGGTTTGGTTTCTTTTTTTATTGTCCTGTTTTGTTTTTTGGATTGTGCCGTGCGGTGAGCTTGGAGTGGTGGCTTGGCTTGGTGATGATGCGTTTTTTCTCCCACTGGCTACGTCCAGATGAACAGAATCAACTTTTGGAGAAAGTTAAACTTTTGTAAATGTAACATCCATCATTTTTTTCAGTGTAGGCCAGCTGCCTGTTAGAACAGAGAGCGCACAATTACACAATCAGTCTCCTCTGATAGCCTCCTGGCACCGCTGCAACACAACTGAGCCATAATCCATCTACTGTTGGCTGAAGCTTTGTCATAAATAGTCAGATTTGAGTTCAAATTGTTTCAATGTTCAGTAAAGGTCAGGAGGGAGGTGCAACGTGTGCGTGTGCAGACATCTGTAAAACAAGGTGGAGGCTGTCTCGTGATTTGGGGCTGCATCTCAGCCAGTGGTGTTGAGAGTCTCGTCAAAATGGATAAAATTGTGAATGCAGAAAAATGCATGAATATTTTGATGCACTACACAGTATCATGGACGATTGTCTGTGCCTTTGTGTAATGGATGATGCTAACGCACACACTGTGCAGCTCTTTGGATGGTTTTCCATGAAATCGACTTTCCTGGTAATATGTGTTTGAGTTGTTCTTTTTAGTTGTATTGTTGGAAGATAACGCCTGCACTGAAGACTGGAGATAAAACAATGATTTAAAAAATCATTGCTGGTTCTAGTGGCACGAGCTTCAAGTGTGCTTTCATCCTTTTTGTGTTTGCTGATATGCACTTTACTGTGTTTCCCTGCAGGACATCTTACCTCAGACACACCTCCCCCATCGTACATTACTGCCACCCACTCTGAGACTCCCTCAGACACAGCCAAAACACGAGACCAGGTAAATCCTCCTTCGAAAGATGAAAGCCGATGCACTGAAAGAAGGACTCACAGCTGATTGCCTCGGACACACAAATGCACACACTTTCCCCTGATCTAAATATAATAAGTTTTGTGCATTTGAAGAAACCGTTTTGTAAAGTTGAACTCAACAGCGTAATGTTGATTTGTTCCAGTTAAGTCACTGTGACACTGGAGGACAGCAGACGTGTTTGATTTTGGAGTAAATATTCTCATGTGACTCTTGTCCTGACACGTGAATATTGGTGCTGGTTAAACAGCGTTGTGAAGGTTTCACTTTGAGCTCTGATATGATTTTTTTTGCTAAATTATTCAGGTGAGTAGAGAGAAGTCAAAACATTAAAACCTCGTAAGATTCCTGAAAATCAAATGATCTTCAGTCGTTAGTCGTTGTTGAGATTTCTCGACACAGCGCATGCATGCAGTGCTGCAGAGGTTTGTGACACTGGTATGTTGTATGTTCTAAAACAAAACTCAAATCTAAACTAATCACTTATTTGTTTGAGTTTCTTTTCAAACTTATTTAGCATACCAGTCAGCAGTGAAGCAGTTTTCACAAACATGAAATAAGTCACTTAGCTAACAATTTAATTCCCCGTACAGCATTTAGAAATGTCCATCATCAGTTGGCTGACAGTGAACAGCAAATGACGTCTGCACAGTAACACAACCAGTTACAGTAGTGTGTAGCTGCAGCCTTTCCATGGAGCTCATCGTGTGTCTGCAGTAGCCGAGGAAGGACAAACCCAACACTGGGTACATACTGGGCCTCATGTCTCTTATGATTGAAATGATGACTGCAGGTGATATAATGACATAATCAATGAATGAGGGCTATTCAGCAACCACACCGCTACACAGGCAGCTTTAGTTCACAAACCTTAACAAAAAATAGACAAAAAAACCTGTTTTCCGATGTGTCTGTGAAGGTTCTCAGTCATCCAGGTCATCGTAGTCTAAGGAGCTTGCAAAGAAAAGCGTCTGGACTTCTTTAAGTTACTTGAAGACGTTTCACC